TGAAAGGGAGCGTCCCATGCGGCTGGGGAGGCAGGGTGACGCGCTGGATGCGCTGTCACGACGTCTCGGAGGCTGGGCAGCAGAAGTCCTTCCCGATCTGCATTTGGTGTTCCGCGGAGGGTGGCAGGGCAGCCGCGGTGTTTGCAGGCAAACGCGGCTAAGCGCCGCCGCAGAGCTCTCCTCCGCCGCAGCTCGTAGCCGCCTGGAAGCAGCGCTGCCACCAGCTGTGACACATAGGGGACACGAGGGGAGGGCAGCGGCGTTGCTCGTGTGGGACTGGGGATTTGAGGCCCAGCAGCAAGCCCAGGGCTGTTGGGAGGGCACAGGCCAGAGTGGCACACAAGTCCTGTATGTCACGTCCGTGCATGTCCCTGGGCCCATTGGGGGTCCACGTGATCTCAGGACATGAATGGCACACTGGCATCCTGGCTGGCAGCAATGCGCGTGCGGCAGACCGGTGATTGTGAAGTGAGGGGTGTGGCTGGTGTCCGCATGGGTCACACTGCGAGGGGCTTCAGGCGACGGCCACCTGACGCCGAATCGTGGGAGTTAGATTCGGAGCTGCGGGGCCGGGGCGGGAAGCAACTGTGTGAGGCAGACAGGGGCTTGACCTCAGGGACGGCGTGGTGGTGAGCCCCGCGGAGCTGGGCAGGTGCGGAGTGCGGGTTGGGCTGGAGGGCAGCCCGGTGGGCGACGCGGCTCTCCTTAAGCCGAGGTCCTCGGGGTCACCGGAGCCCCAGAGTAAACGCTGCTCTGCCGTCGAGGCTCCCGCACCTGGGCCGGCACCGGGGGACGTGAGAGGCATCATGGGGGTGAGACGTGTCGCGGGGAGGCAGCTGCAGGGGCCGGAGTCTGTTTCTGAAACGAGACCGGCCCTCCAAGCACCCTGCGGCGGCTGCACGGCAGGCAGAGTCTGTGCCGACAGGGCGCGGTCCTCGCGGGCGGACCCGCGGAGAGCAGAGCGGGCGGTCCGCATCATAATCGCGCCGGCAGCTGTCGGGGAACAGGAGAGTTTTTACGGGGGTTGGGGCTCCAGCCGAGGAGCAGCTGGAAAGTTCCAAACGTGGTGAACCAGGTCTGTCCAGAAGCAACCGGCGCGGGGCGGAGGCCCCCCCCGGGAGAGGCGGTCAGCGGTGGTGCGCACAGGTGAGAAGGGTGCAGGATGATGCAGGTGGCGCTTGTGTGGGTGGAGGATGTGGATGGAGGGATGGAGAGTGAGGTGGGAGGAATGGAGGAGTGTGGAGGAGGGTGGAGGACGAGGGTGAGCGGGGGAGGGTGAGTGGAGGTGGAGTAGGAGAAGGTATGGGATGAAGTGACGCGGGGGATGGAGTGAGGAGTGGTGAGGAGGGGGTGAGGGCAGGAGTAGCGGGAGGGTGAGTGGGGGTGAGTAGAGGAGGGGTGGGTGAGGACGAGGAGGACGAGGTGGGGAGGTGATGAGATGAGGGGGTGGGCAGAGAAGTGACTGGGGAGGTGGGTGAGAGGTGGGGTGGATGGAGAGAGCGAGGGGTGGGAGTGGGGGAGGGCGGGTAGGAGGACCCCAGGGGCGGCAGACGCCCCCCCATGCCTGGGCACAGGATGGAGGGCTGTTGAGAGTCTTGCCATTCTAGTTCTGCACGGTCTTGACGCGTCCCGTGTATGTTCCGTCCCTGCCTTACGTCTGAGCGTCTTGGTTCTGGCGTGTCTCACGCGCCTTGCGTTGCAGGAGCCGGTGCCCTCCGCGGGCAGGCGCGGCGGGCGCGCCGGGCCGCGTGCAGACCGCATCTGTCGCGGCGGTCCGCGAGGGCCGCGTGCTGGGAGCGTACCTGGGAGGCGGCACGTCCCGCGGGCACGTGGTCGGTCCCCGCGGGGCCACGGGTGTCGGTCCCCGCGTGGCACGGTGTGCGTCCAGGTGTGACACCTGCGCTCCGCCGGGCCTTGGCCCTGTGCAGGTGACGCGCAAAAGCGGGCGACACGGCGCTTGGCGGCTGGCCGGTCACGCAGGGCGCGCCCTCAGTCGGAGGTCCGCGCGCGCGCGGAGGTGGCCCGGTTCGTTCGGCCCACGCTCGTCGGGGATGGGGGAGCCGCAGCGGCGGCGCCTCCGGCAGTGATCTGCCTGCGGGAACAGCCGCACCTCGGTTCCCACAGCGGGTGCGGGCAGCGGGCTCCCACGGCGAGGCAGCCCGCAGGCCTGGCCCTGTGGTTGGGGCAGGGCTTTCTCGCATCCCCGACAGGGTGGCTGTGTCATCCTGACCTCTGAAATTTCCGGGCACGTTCTGGTTTCCTGTTTGGAAAGCTTGTTCTCAGAGTTTCTGGAGGGCTGTGGCCACACGAGCCACGGTGGTGGTCATTTCCACCTAGACCCATTCGCAGATGAGGAAAATGAGGCTCAGAAGTGAGGTCCTGGCTGGAGGGCGCGAGTGGGAAGTCGGAGCCGACTTGTCCCGGTGTCCTTGTGTCCACAGTGCACCTGCCTGCACCTCGGTGGATCTGAATTTCAGGAGTGCCCGCAACGGTCATGGCCCCTCGGCAGACTGTGCTGTCTGAAAGTGGCGTGGGACGAGGCCGCTGAGGTTGCGGTTCTTTAGTGGCCTGGAAGGCAGTCGGGCGTATGTGGGAACGCAGTGCTGAGGAACGCTGCTGTCCTTGGTGACGTGGGTGACGGGCCGTGGGTCTGTGCCTGCCAGTCCTGGACACACCTGCGGTGTCCTCAGGAAGGTGGGGGCAGAGGGGGAGGTTACTTTGCAGCCCCAGGGAGCAGGCCCACTGGGGGTGACGCCGCCTAAAAGAGGCCTCGCAGGAAATGTGGGCGAGCGAGACAGAACCCAGAGGGGGCGTGTCACCTGGGGTCCCGGCCACAAGGCCATCCTGGCCAGTGGCTAAGAGATCCTCCCGCCCCGCCTGCAAGACACACAGGCCGCGTGCCACGGTCCAGACTGTAAATTTCCAGCACACCTGAGCCAACACCGGGGCCTGGGTGGCTGAGAGCCCGGCAAGGGTGGCGATGCTGAGCCAGCTCCCCCCTGCGAGCTGCAGTCCGGACGGGGACCTGGCCAGTGCCGCACTGCGGGGCGCCCTGTGCCTCACTGGAGCCACTGCAGTGGGGGGACCCAGGATGGTAAAGAACTGGGGGGAGGGGAAACGAGCTGACAGGAGATGAGAAGGTAAATAGGTAAACATTCGCAAAACCCCACAGGAGTGTGCAAAATAATCCTTATTCTCGGTGGACACAACTGAGGGCCTGACTCACCCCCATCCTCGCTGCGCCTGGTGTCCCCAGTCCCACAGCGCGGCCGTCCGCTGGACCGCAGAGTCCCGGCCACCATCCCGCCAGCCTGTGGTCACAGCACCGTACCTCCTACCGTGACCCCGTGGGGCCGGAGATTCATCCTTTGCAATCGCAAGTGGTTCAGTTCATATTAAATCTATTCTTATCCCAAATATGACTTCTCAAAGTCAGAACCCTCCTGTTCACTTGTTATGAAGCCTATTTCATGATAAAAAGAACCTTTACCTCGATACCCTTAAACACCCCGTCACACCCCTGCAACCCAGCACAGCCGGGAGGGCTCACCCTGCTCTCCAGGGCCGAGGGCCCTGCTGTACTGGCCGCTGCGCTGCCCACAAGAACCTGAGCCCTCGAGAGCCCCCCACCACCACGAGGAAGGTGGGGCTGGCCGGGCGCCAACGTCGCTGGCTTCTGGGTTGACCCCAGCATCGAGGAAGGACGACCCGGCAGCACCTGCGGCCGCACACACCTTGGCCTGGCCCGTGGGGAGAAAGGGAGCATTTAGGACCCGGAGCATGATGATTAGGAGTGTCCCCGAATGGTTTCAGGAGTGACTTCCTGGGGAAGACAGAGGGGAGTGAACCGTGGCACTCATTTGTCCAGGAGGAATGGGACGGGGACAGGGCTGTGGACCCGCAGGCTGAGGCCTGGCTGGTGGCAGCTCTGCGCTCCCAGCCCTGCAGGGACAGCCAGGCCTGCGTCCTCAGGCTCACTCTGCCCTTGGCTGGCCAGTCAGACTCAGCCCTGCCACCACCCGAGGCTCCTGTGGAAATGCCTCCCACGGAGGGCCAGTGGCCACAGCGCTGTGGTGCAGGGGGGACGCAGGAGGCCGGGCCGAGGGGGGCAGCAGCCGGGGGCCGGGGCTGATTGTCGCCAAGGAAGGATTTAGGCACGTGGGTTCCAGGGGCCCTGCAGGCCGCCACGGAGAGTGTGGGCCAGGGCTCGGGGCGTGCCAGGAGCCTGGAGCCTACCAGAGGCCAAGCTGTGTGCAAAGGACAGGCCTTCTGGGACAGCAGGGCAGGAGTGACCTCACCATCATGGCCAGCTGCAGCCAGGCGGAAAGCTCCAGAAAGAGCAGGTGCTTTACAAGAGGACAGTGGCACCGTGGCCAAGAGGGGAGCCCTGAGGGCACCCTTGCTGTTCTGCCCAGGGTTCCAGCCACCCCATCCCCTCCCTCGGGTGCCCACCCGCCCCACCTCCGGAGTTCACCCTGCCCTCGCACGTCTAGATCACTCCTCTGCATGGGTCACCAGTGACCTCCCGCCCCGAAGCCGTCTGTCCACGTCCCCAGGCCGGGTGATGGGCCGGAGCTCAGCGGAGGGGCTGGAGGCCCTGTGCAGGGGGAAGCGTCTGCAGCTGAGCCCTGGGGTGCAGGAGAACAACCAGCGTCTAACCACACACGTCTGCAAAGGACCCTGGCCTGGGGTGAAGTGCTCCCCCACTGCCGTCCCCCTAGCACCTGTGGGTGCGACCTCACCTGGACACAGGGTCTCTGCAGATAGAATCAAGTCAAGGTGCGGTCACACCTGAGCAAGGAGTGTGCTGTCCCAGTACGGTCAGTGTCCCTGGAAGGGGGCGCAGGGAGCGGGCCGAGCAGACAGAGGCAGAGACTGGAGTGACCCAGCCACAAGGAACACCTGCAGCCACCAGAAGCTGCGGGACCCTCCTGTTGAGCCCTCAGAGGACACGTGGCCCTGCCACTCCTCGCCCTCAGCGTCCTGGCCTCCAACACCTGAGAGGATGAACGGTTGCCATTCACACCTCCCCCATGTGGTGCTTCGTCACAGCAGCCCGGGACACCACGCACTTCTCATGAGGGGCTCGCGCCCTTGCCCTCCATAGGTAAACAGGGTATGGCCTTCTCTCCTGTGGCCCTAAAACTGTCTCCCCATGTTTCAGAATGGCTGACGTCCCCTTCCCGGCCACCCTGTCAGTGGCAGGAGCTCGGTTCTTTGTTGGTAGCCGGAGGAGAAGCAAAGGCCTGTTCACAGTAAGTCAGCGCCGACAGGGCGCGGCTGTCCCCAGCATGCCATCTCGATGCTCTGGTGTGACAGAGTCTCACAGGTGCTAACTGGGAATGATGGGCACAAGGGCTGTGGGCTCTCTGCCACTGGGCCTTTGCACTTGCTGTTTCCTGCTCCTGGGCCTTTGCACTTGCTGTTTCCTGCAGCCTCTTCCCTGTGACACCCACGGGCCCTGCCCAAGCGTCCTCTACTTTGAGGCCGGCCCCACCACTCCGAGATGCTGCTGCGCCAGCCCTGGGGGCCCTTCCCCCATTTTGACTTCTCAGTAGCACTGACCACCCTCAGACCAGCCCGGTGTCTGCCCGAGCCTGTCTCCTCACTAGAGTGTGGGGGGACCTCATTCCATGAGGGTGTGTGGCTTTTGCTCCCTGTGATGCTGTGCCCACAGCGGCTGGGACCATGCCTGACACATAGTAGGTGCCCTGTGAGTGTTTGCTGATGGCATGCTTGGATAGATGGTGGCCGAGGGAGGGATGGGTGGATGGATGGATGGACAGATGAATGAATGAACTGATGGATTGTTGGATGGATGGATAGTCAATAGGCAGATGGATGGATGGACAGATGGATTGCTGGATGAATGGATGGATAGTCAATGGGCAGATGGATGGATGGACAGATGGATTGCTGGATGAATGGATGGATAGTCAATGGGCAGATGGATGGATGGACAGATGGATTGCTGGATGGATGGATGGATAGTCAATGGGCAGATGGATGAACGGACAGAAAGATGGATTGTTGGATAGATGGATGGACAGATGGCTAGATGGTTGATGGACAGATGGACAGATAGATGGATGGACAGATGGATTGCTGGATGGATGGATGGATAGTCAATGGGCAGATGGATGTATGGACAGATGCATTGTTGTTGGATAGATAGATGGATGGTCAGTGGGCAGATGGATGGATGGACAGATGGACTGTTGTTGGATGGATGGATGGATGGATAGTCAATGGGCAGATGGATGGATGGACAGATGAACTATTGTTGGATGGATGGATGGATAGTCAATGGGCAGATGGATGAATGGACAGAAAGATGGATTGTTGGATGGATGGATGGACAGATGGCTAGATGGTTGATGGACAGATGGACAGATGGATGGATGGACAGATGCACAGATGGGTAGGTGGATGGAGTATTGTTGGATGGATGGATGGATGGATGACAGACGGATAGGTGGTTGATGGACAGATGGACAGATGGATGGATACACAGATGGGCAGGTGGATGGGAGGAGGAGTGGGTGGATGAGCATGTAGCCAGTCACTTTAAGTTAGCCCACACGAAACTCCCTTCTGTGGATTCCTTACCGCAGAAGGTGTACAGTTCTCCACCGTTGCGTCCAGGGGCCCCCTCCCCGAACCCGGCATGTAGACGCTGCTCTGCTGGCTCTGCAGAGGCTCGACTCCACCCACCCCTCCCTCCGTCCCTCCTGCAGCCGGTCTGAGGGACTGTCCCTCTCTCCGCAGGGCCTGGTGAGGCAGCTGGTCCTGCTGCCCGGCTCGGACGCCACCGCAAGGCTGTGTCCCAGCAGGAACGCCCCGCTGGCGGTGCTGGCCATCCCCGGGGCTCTGCAGGCCCTGCCGGGGAAGCCGGAAGACAACGAGGTGCTGCAGTATCCCTATGGTGAGCCGGTGAGGCCACCCGCCCCACACGAGGGCGGCGACAAGGCTCCCTCCCCTCCTGTCCCGCTGTGCAGTCTCTCCTCTCACGGCTGCACAACCACAGAGGACACCCGGGGCCCAACCGGGAGGCAGGCGGCGCCATCAGACAGGCCCCCACCATCCACCCTCCCCTGAGCACTCCGGGGCTGCCGTCCTGCCCGTCCTGGCCCCAGCACAGGGCAGGCCCTGCCAGCTTCGGGGAGCCTCCCTGCCCCTGAGCCTGCTCTGATGTCCACCGTGCCCAGCTCTGCCCCCCAGGGCAGCTGGGGCCGGCCCCACCACAGTCACGCACGGTCAGCTGCCCGGGCGGCCGACCTTGGACGCACACTTCTGCTTTCCACGCCCCCGCCAGCTGGAGGTTCGCTTCCTCTTGGTGTGGAGTCGAGGCTGTTTGTTTAAAGCAAGCCCCTGCCGTGGAGACTCTGTCCCCCGCCACTGCACCCACAGTGCTCTGCGGCCACCCCGAGGGAAGGTGAGGTCAGGGGTGGCAGAGCCCCTGGACCCTCGGCACGTGCAGGAACAACGAGGGGAGTCCCGCCTCCAGCACGCCGTCCCCACCATGTCACGCGCGGTCAGTGCACTCCTGCCGCTGCTGCAGGGCCATCCCTTGTGTCCAGATACCTGCAGGGTCCCTGGCGAAATCTGGGGTGCAGAGGCACAGGCAGGGCTGCGCCATTCTCCCCTGGCACTGACCTGGGACACTCACTGTCCCCGTCTCCCCTCAGAAACGGACCTGAAAGTGACGCTGGGGTCCCGGCCGCCATGCACCAAGGTGGAGGACGCCCAGTTCTGGTTTGACGCCAGCAGGAAGGGGCTGTATCTGTGTGTCGGCAACGAGTGGGTCTCCGTGTTAGCAGGTGAGGCGGGGCCCAGGGTCTCGGGACACGGGCGGTCCGTGACGCGGAACACACACGGGCAGCGCTGCCACGTCACGCCTAGGGGAGGGGGCTATGAGAGGGCAAAGGGCCACGGCCACCTCTAGGTGACCACATGCTTGGTTGTCCAGGTGGGGGCACTTCTGAGAGTGGGAGGGACCGCGGGTCACGACACCTGGGAGCAATGGCAGCTAGGACACTGTCCTCCCTGGCCCCGAGTGTCCTCCGCCGTGGCCTGTCCTGAGAGCCGGAGTCATGCAGGAGGGAAGCCACCCCTAGGCAGTCACGAGCTTGTGCAATTTGGAAACGCAAGGCCTCCTGGCCAGGACACGGCGGCAGGGTGGAAACCTCTCGGGACCCCTTCCCAAACCACAGGAAGGGGTCGTGGGCACGGCGGGTGGACAGGGCTTCCCGCAGTGACCCTTCCTCCGCCCCCACCTCCCCGCCCGGGAGAGCAGGGGCGAGACCCAGGAATCTGGGAGGGCCACGTTTTCCAGCATGCCCTCTCCACAGCCCGTCCCCAGCCGCGGGGAGGTGAGCACAGGTCGAGGGACGCCGCTCCAGCCTGGCGTCCGCGGGGGACAGGATGGGGCGGTTCCAGCCGGGCACCCGCCGGCCGCTGGCTCTGCTCTGTCCTGCCGTATCCAAGGCACACGTGCACAGAGCAGGGAGCCGTGGGAAGCTGTCGTGAGGACGGGATGTCTCGCCTTCTTGTTGTTAGTGTCACAGGGGTGGTGCAGACCACGAAGCCCCCGCAGACACGGGCGGCTCCCCCACACAGGCTGCTCGGGAAGGGCGAAAGGAGGCTCCAGGGAAACCGCTGTCGTGGAAACACACACCTGAGGCTGAGGCTTTGGGGGTCCCTGGGGGTCGCGCTCCCAGCGATCGGCGGGTCGGGCTTCTGTCCCCGGCCGTGTTAACGGGTCACACCGTGTCTGTCGCAGCCAGAGAGAGACTAGACTACGTGCAGCAGCACCAGGACCTGTTCACCAGCTCGGAGACCCTGGGCATCGAGGTGTTCCGCATCCCCGGGGTGGGGCTCTTCGCGGCCACGGCCAACCGGAAGGCCACGTCCGCCATCTACAAGTGGACGGACGGCAAGTTCGCCTCCTTCCAGAGCCTCCGCACGCACCAGGCCCAGTCCTGGCGGCACTTCACCATCGGCAGAAAGGCAAGTGTGCGTGCCGGGACCGCCCCGTCCTTTCCAGGCCAGGGAAACCCGGAGTCCAGCGGCCGGGGCTCCTCCTGCATGCAGGTCGAATGTTTCTCGTGGTGCCAAGCCCTCGTTCGGGTTGCAGAAGGCTCTCAGACTCCCCCGTGTCAGCTGCGGCCCTAAACCCGGAGCGTGACGCTGAGACGGTCTGCAGGCTCCCGCCAAGCAGAAGACTACTTGGTTGTCTCCAAGCTGCGGGCCAGCTCTGCGCAGACCCATCCCTAGCACATTTAAAGCCGGCGGAGCACATTTACTCGAGCCAACCAACGATGCAGAAGTCATTTCAGAAGGAAAATAGAAGATCTACGTTCCGGATCCTTCCTCTGCTCACTTCACAAACACTCAGCCCGCGCCATGTCCAGGCGGCCGGCTGGGGCGGGGCGGGTGGCTGCTTCCAGCCGGGCCAGTCGGAGCACGGTGCTGGTGCCGCGGGGCCGGGTCTGAGGGAGGCGCTGGCCTTGCCCTGCAGGGGAAGAGCAGATTTTCTGCAGGGCTGGACTCTAGACGGCAGGGTGCTAGAGACGCCTCGTGAACGTCCCCCAAACAGTCCCTCACGCGAGAAAGGTGTGTGAGGACAGCCAGGCTCTCACTCGACGCCAGACACACCCCTGCTTCTGCCGCTTGCGCCCGCCACGGCCCCGGCTGCGCCCACGTCCAGTGTCACGGATGAACCACTTTTTTTTGGTGGGGAGGGATTGTTGACATTTTAAAGTTTTTATTTTATTTTTTATTTTTTTTGAGACAGTCTGACTCCGTTGCCTGGGCTACAGTGGCCGTGGCGTCAGCCTAGCTCACAGCAACCTCAAACTCCTGGGCTCAAGCGATCCTCCCGCCTCAGCCTCCCGAGTAGCTGGGACTACAGGCATGCGCCACCATGCCCGGCTAATTTTTCTATTTTTAGTAGAGGTGGGGTCTCACTCTTGGCTCAGGCTAGTGTCGAACTCCTGACCTCAAGTGAGCCTCCCGCCTCAGCCTCCCAAGTAGCTGGGAGTACAGGTGTGAGCCACCATGCCCAGCTAATCTTTTTATTATGCTTTTGTTGAGATGGGGTCTTGTTATGTTGCCCAGGCTGCTCTTGAACTCCTAGGCTCAGGTGATCCTCCTGCCTTGGCCTCCCAAAGTGTTGGGATTTTAGGCGTGAGCCACCGTGCCTGGCCAGTTTTTATTTTTTCATTATAAAAAATGCTAACTTTACATCAAAGAAAAATTGGGAAATTCAGAAAAACAAAGAGGAAAATATTGGTCTCATCCTCTGAGCAAACACATGGTTCCACCTGCCTGTGCACATTGTGCATGAACCAGGCACCGGGCTGTCCTGTGTCATCACACGGCTGCCACGGTGAGCCCCGGCCAGGTCACATGGCTGCACTGTTACGTGGTTTGGCACCTTGGCACGGCGAGGAGAGCAGGTCATTAAAGGTTTTTTGTACTCATCACACCACGAGAACATTTTTGTGCATGAAGCATTTGGCGAGTTTGGAAATTTTTTGTTTTCTGTCGTTTCGTGCCTTTAGGTAGTGACAGAAGTAGGAATAATGGGCTAAGGTACACAGATGTTTTTATTTTTTATTTTATTATTTATTTATTTTTGAGACAGGGTCTCACTTTGTTGCCCAGGCTAGAGTGAGTGCTGTGGCGTCAGCCTAGCTCACAGCAACCTCAATCTCCTGGGCTCAAGCAATCCTCCTGCCTCAGCCTCCCGAGTAGCTGGGACTACAGGCATGTGCCACCATGCCCGGCTCATGTTTTCTATATATATTAGTTGGCCAATTAATTTCTTTCTATTTATAGTTTAGATGGGGTCTTGCTCTTGCTCAGGCTGGTTTTGAACTCCTGACCTCCAGCAATCTGCCTGCCTCAGCCTCCCAGGGTGCTAGGATTATAGGCATGAGCCACTGTGCCTGGCTCACAGATGTTTTTAAAGGACGTCATGGCCAGATCTAGGAGCCGCCACCAGCTCCCCGCCTCCCCCCGCTGTGGCCAGTGCCGTAGGGCGGGCTCTGCCCAGCCTGGCCCTGCGCCACCAGGATGGAGCTCGGACTTGCAGGGGGACGGTGACGCTCATGTGCACACATGCCCCGGCTGCGCCCCGGCCCCCGAGCGAGCCGCCCTGCTCTCTCCCTTTCAGATCTTCCTGGCTGTGGCCAACTTCGAGCCGAACGAGAAGGGCCAGGAGTTCTCCGTCATCTACAAGTGGAGCCACAGGAAGCTGAAGTTCGCCCCGTACCAGAGGATCGCCACCCACAGCGCCCGGGACTGGGAGGCCTTCGAGGTGCACGGGGAGCACTTCCTGGCGGTGGCCAACCACCGGGAAGGTAGGGCAGGTGCGGCCTGTGACCCGGCAGGAAGCCATTCCGGGGCGCGGTGGGCCTGGGTGCAGGGTGAATTTTCGTCTCACTGAAAACACCGAGTCACAGCCGGCCCGCGTCCTGGGCTCAGCCTACAGCTGTGTGCACGGGAGGACACACTCGGCTCGGCACCCTGCCCCCGGCTGTCACCTGTCTGGGGAGGAAGGTGTCGGGCTGTCCCGCGTGGGACCTGCCTGCAGGGGAGCTGCCACGGAAATGTGGCCCCGAGTCCTGGCAGGCTCTGCAGGCTGGTGTCCCCTCCCTGAGTCTGGCCCACACCGCAAGAAGGTTGGGGACCCGAGCAGCCGGCGGGGCCGTCTCAGGAGTGCTGGCACGGACGGGCGCTGGTGGGCAGAGAGGGACGTGGGGCTGGAGAAGTTGTCGACGACTTGTTTCCCTGAGAACACACTCAGCACGCCGGCGGGCAGGGGGTGCGGGCCCAGGAGTGCTGGACGCCTGGTGCCGGGTCAGACCACTGCCCCCAGTGGCCACCAGCCAGTCCTTCCCATTCTGAGGCCCGGGGACTATATTGGGTCTGAGGTTGCAGCCGCCCCCACCCCACCCGGCGGGGGTACCTCTGACTGCGGCTCAGCCCTGGCTTGCATGCACAGCCCCCAGTCAGGCCAGAAACCAGCGCACCCCACGGGAGGACCCCTGCAGGGAGGACCCCCTTGGAGCACCGTGGGAACAGCGTGTAGGGGGGCTGACCTGGGGAGAGGGCAAGAGGCAAGGGGACCTGGGAGGGTGGCAGTATGGCAGGGGACACAGCGGGGTCCCAGCTGCATTGCACCAGTAGGCCACAGTGGGGTGTGGAACCATCCAAAAGGTGCAGGTGTGCTGAGAGAGTTCACTCGGGAGTGCGCTATGAAGGCCCAGGGATGGGGGTCCCGTGGGAGGCTGGGTGGGGGGTGAGAGGGTGGAGCTCAGGGTGGGCATGAGGGGGCATGACAAGGCATGTCCCGGGCGGCGTGCACGTCACAGGTCCGTAGGGGGACTCGGGGCAGGGCTGTCGGGTGGGCTCTGTCCCTCGGGGTAGTGGCAGGGCCGAGGAAGTCCGCGTCCCCTCCCCGACGCAGCCCTGGGTTCCAGGTGACAACCACAACATCGACAGTGTCATCTACAAGTGGAACCCGGCCACACGCCTCTTTGAGCCCAACCAGACCATCCCCACGTCCGGCGCCTACGACTGGGAGTTCTTCAACGTGGGGCCCTACTCGTTCCTGGCGGTGGCCAACACCTTCAACGGCACGTCCACCCGTGTGCACTCGTGCCTCTACGTCTGGCTGCTGGGCTCCTTCCAGCTCTTCCAGTCCTTCCCGGTAAGGAAGCCCGGCCCCCGGCCTCCGTCCCCACTGTCTCCCCTGGGCAGCGAGTGCCGGCTGCGGCAGGTGGCGCGGGCAGGGGCACAGCCAGCCAGCGGGCGTGGCTCTGGATTCCCCATCCCGAGACCAAGGCCCTGTCCCGGCTGGACGGCATAGGTGGAGGAGCCCAGCTGCCTGCCACAGCTACTGCTATTCCCCGGGGACAGCCCGGGGCCAGGACCGAGGGCAGCGTGAGCTGGCTCTGCCCCTGCCCTGCCCTGGTCTTCTCCAAACCCAGCGGCTCTGGGCCTCGAGGTGCCCCAGCGAGCTCTGCGGTCTGATCCCAGCGTGGGTGGCTCCGACTGGGCAGTGTGGGGCTGGGGCAGCACTCGCTCCCTCTGGCCTCGAGGGACGCTCAGGGCCCTGTCATGTGGGCCTGCGAGACTCTGCGTGGGCGTGGCAGCCTACTGACCCTGCCTTCACTGAGGGCAGGACAGTGAACCAGGTGGCCCCAGGCCAGTGTGACAGGAACTGGGAGGGGGTGCAGGGCGCAGCCGAGGCACAGCTGCCGGGGGCCAGGGGAGGGCTGCCTCCTGGGGAGCCTGGCTTCCCGGAGGGGACAGCTCAGAGGTCTTGGCCTGGGGCCCTGTGAGGGGTGGGGGTGGGAGGTGAGAGGGGGGGCTCAGGTGGGCAGGGCACTTCCCGGGCGCCGTGCATGTCATTGGCCTGTCGGGGGAGACTCGGGGCAGTGTCCCCTCTCTGTGTGCTGGAAGCGAGCACCCTCTCCAAATAGAGATGTCGCTGCCCACACGAGACCCAGTCCTCCCCGTGTCCTTCTGGAACCTTCTGTGCTCACTGACCTGCGCCTCGTTGGCTGGCAGAAGTGTCCTCAGGGCCCTCTGTGCCCTGGGGCAGGGAGATGGACCCCAGAGGCTCGTTCAGGGGCAGGGAGGCCGCCCCCAGGAGGAGACAGCGCTGGGGAGTGGCCTTGGAGGCTGACGCCCAAACCCCCGTCAGGGTCTCCAGGAAAACGGGAAGAGCGGCCAGGGCTCTGCTGAGCCGCCCTGCGTTCAGACAAGAGGCTCTGCAGAGGCATGGGTGGGGCTCTGTGGCTATAATGACTTTCTAGAACATTCCACACCTGCATCTAGGCAGGCCTGCAGGTCCCACGGGGGGTGAGTTGCAAAACACAGGGAGCAAGGAGAAGTTCTGGAGTCTCGGGTTCCTGGGGCACCCGTCATCCAGGCAGAGTGAGCGGGCGCCAGGAGACGGCGGGCGCCACCCAGACTCTCCCGGTCCCAGAGCTGCTCTGGCTGGACGCAGGCACGACGGCCGGGAGGCTGGGGCACAGCAGCACCCCGGACCACCACCGCCCTTGGGGTGGCAGGCGGTGGTGGGGACGCAGCATTAGGTGGCCTTCAGGACACAGGGGAGCAGGTGCCGGGGAAGGCGGGGCCACTGCCCAGAGCCAAAGCGGGCGAGGAGAATGTGATGCCACCAGCGCGGGGCCCACAGGGCCACAGTTTAGTGACTTTAATGACAGGCTGGTGGGCAGGAGAGAGGGGCTCTGAGGAGGCTGCTGTCCACCGGGGGAGCGGCAGGTGCCCAGGACAGGAGGCCGCCGGGCCGGGAGGACACGCCGGGATGGAAGGGGTGAGCGTGCCCATGCGCTGGGGGAGGCAGGGTGATCCTGAGCGCCTGGCACGGGGAGGTCTCGGAGGCTGGGGCAGCCAGAGTCCTTCCCAATCTGCATTTGCAGTGTCCCTGGGAGGTGGCAGGGCCAGCCACCGGTGTCTGCTGAGCAGCGACGCCGCCAAGCGCCCGCCGAAAGCTCTGCCCGCTTCCTTCTGCCGCAGCCTCTAGCCGCCCTGTGAAGCAGACGCTGCCACCAGGCTGTGACACATGGGGACACCAGGGAGGGGCAGCGGCTTGCTCGTGTGGGAGCTGGGATTGGGGCCCAGGCAGCACAGCCCGGGGCTGGGTTGGTGAGGCACAGGCCAGAGTGGCACACAAGTTCCTTATGTCACCGTCCGTGCATGTCCCCTGGCCGCCATGCGGGTCCACGCTGAGTCTCAGGGGAATGAATGACACTGGCATCTTGGCTGGCAGCAATGCGCGCGTGTGCAGACCGCTGATTGTAAGGAGGGTGTGGGCGTGTCCGGCATGGGTCACCTGGCCGCGGGGCTCAGGGCGACTGCCCACCTGACGCCCGAATCGTGGAGTTAGACTCAGGCCTGCGAGGCCGGGCCGGGAGCACACCTGTGTGAGGCCAGGACCCAGGGGGGCCTTGACCTCAGGACTCGCGGTGCGGTGGTGGAGCCCCGCGGAGCTGGGCAGGTGCGGAGTGCGGGGTTGGGCTGACGGCAGCGCCGGTGGCGACGCGGGGCTCTCCGTTAACCGAGGGTCCTCGGGGTCACCGGAGCCCCAGAGTGAACGCGTGCTCTGCCGGCTCGAGGCTCCCGCACCTGGGCCTGGCACACCGGGGGGTGCACGGAAGGGCAGGTCATGGGGGGTGTGACGTGTCGCCGGGGAGCAGCTGCAGGGCCGGAGTCTGTTCTGAAACGAGACCGGCCCCTCCAAGCACCTGCGGGGCGGTGCTGCACGGCAGGCAGAGGGCTGTGCCCGGGACAGGGCGCGGTCCCTCGCGGGCCGGACCCGCGGAGAGGCAGAGCCGGGGGTCCGCATCCCAAATCGCGCCGGAGCTTCGGGAACAGGAAGTTACGGCTCCAGCCGAAGATGCCCACTGGAAAGTTCCAGAATGGGAACCAGCGTCTGTCCCAGAGAGCAACCCCGCGGGGCGGGGAGGGCCCGGGAGGAGGCGCGTCAGGCGTGAGTGGCAGGCACAGGTGAGAAGGGTGCAGGATGATGCAGGTGGCGCTTGTGTGGGTGGAGGATGTGGATGGAGGGATGGAGAGTGAGGTGGGAGGAATGGAGGAGTGTGGAGGAGGGTGGAGGACGAGGGTGAGCGGGGGAGGGTGAGTGGAGGTGGAGTAGGAGAAGGTATGGGATGAAGTGACGCGGGGGATGGAGTGAGGAGTGGTGAGGAGGGGGTGAGGGCAGGAGTAGCGGGAGGGTGAGTGGGGGTGAGTAGAGGAGGGGTGGGTGAGGACGAGGAGGACGAGGTGGGGAGGTGATGAGATGAGGGGGTGGGCAGAGAAGTGACTGGGGAGGTGGGTGAGAGGTGGGGTGGGATGGAGAGGGAGCGAAGGGGTGAGTGGGGGAGGCGCGGTGTAGGAGGATCCCAGGGGCGGCAGACGCGACCCCCCAGGCCTCGCGGCACAGGATGGAGGGCGGTGGAGCTCTTGCCATTCTAGTTCTGCACGGTCTTGACGCGTCCCGTGTATGTTCCGTCCCTGCCTTACGTCTGAGCGTCTTGGTTCTGGCGTGTCTCACGCGCCTTGCGTTGCAGGAGCCGGTGCCCTCCGCGGGCAGGCGCGGCGGGCGCGCCGGGCCGCGTGCAGACCGCATCTGTCGCGGCGGTCCGCGAGGGCCGCGTGCTGGGAGCGTACCTGGGAGGCGGCACGTCCCGCGGGCACGTGGTCGGTCCCCGCGGGGCCACGGGTGTCGGTCCCCGCGTGGCACGGTGTGCGTCCAGGTGTGACACCTGCGCTCCGCCGGGCCTTGGCCCTGTGCAGGTGACGCGCAAAAGCGGGCGACACGGCGCTGGCGGGCCTGGCCGGTCACCAGGGCGACGCCCTCCGTCGGGGTCCGCGCGGGGCGGGCGCGGAGGTGTTGCCCGCGTTCGGCCCACGCTCGCGGAGGGGCGCGCACAGCCCGCCAGCGGCGGGGCGCCTCCGGCAGGACTCCCTGCGGGGACAGCCGCCCTCGGCTCCCACCGCCGGGTGCGGGCAGGCGGGGGCTCCCAGCGAGCAAGGCCCTGGCCCTGGCCCTGTGGTTGGGGCAGGGCTTTCTCCATCCCCGACAGCCTCCTCCTGGACCTCTGAAATTTCCGAGGGCAACGTTCTGGTCTGTTTGGAAAGCCTCTCAGAGGTTTCTGGAGGGTCTGTGGCCACACGAGCCCAGGTGGTTGGTCATTCCACCTCAGACCCATTTCGCAGATGAGAAAATGGGGCTCAGAAGTGGAGGGTCCTGGCCGAGGGCGCAGTGGGAAGCGCGGAGCCAGCTTGTCCCTGGGTGTCCTTGTGTCCACACGTGCGCCTGCCTGCACCTCGGGGTGGAGCCTGAATTTCCAGGGAGGTGTCCCCCAGTGGCTCATGCGGCCCCCTGGCAGACTGCTGCTGTCCTGAAGTGGCGTGGGGACAAGCCGCTGAGCTCTGCTGGTCTTAGTGCGTCCTGGAAGGCAGTCGGGGCGCGTGTGGGGAACGCAGTTGCTGGAGGAACAGGGCTGCTGTCCCTGGTGACGTTGGTGGGGACGGGCCGCTGGGGTCTGTGCCTGGCCCAGGTCCTGGACACACTCGGTGTCCTCAGAAGGTTGGGGGCAGAGGGGGAGGTCTAGTCTTTGCAGCCCCAGGGGAGCAGGCCCACGGGGTGGGTGACGCCGCCTAAAAGAGGCCTCCAGAAGATTGGGGCCGGAGCAGGACACGGGACAGAGAGCACGGCTGTCCCCAGTGTCCTGGGAGGACCCGGGCTGGTGGCTGGGACCTCGAGGGCAGCAGCGGGCTCCCCCCAACCTGCCAGGCGGCCGCCTTCTCTCAGTAATTTCCCCAAACCCACAAGCGTCCACTTTCATGTTTTGCCAACATTTTTCACATTGTGTTTAAATCCTTTTAGGGCCTGGGGATGTCTTAATTTGTTTACTGTTTGCTTTGAGTTTTGCAACATCTTTCAGGAGCTTGAGCTTTGAAGCAGGCAGAGCCGAGGTGCTTTGAACACGCGTGTGCGCCGTGGAGAGGCCCTTCTGGAAGGGCCGTGGGGGTGGGGGCAGGCGGCAGCGTGGCTGTGCACACAGGCCCCCCGTGCTCCCGGAGCACTGACCGGGCAGGCTTCCCGTGGCTCAGAGGACGGGTGGGGCACTCGGGGATTCGGCAGCCCGGGGCTGGTGCGAGTGGGTCTGGCCGCCCAGCCTGGGGGGCAGAGTCAGCACCCCGTTCCTCTGTCCCGGCCCCGAATCCTAGAACCTTCCTCCAGGGGAGAGACCAAGTCTCCGGTGACCGGGCCTCCCCAGCTTGGTCCCAGGGAGGATGGAGCTCTGCCCCCCCACCCCACTGCCGGAAACCCAGCCCCCAGGTGCCACGATCCCTGCCCCCCGGCGGGTGTGGGGCGCGTGTTCGCGGCTGTGACGTGGCAGTTTCGCAGTGGATTTTGCTTCTGAGTGAGTTTGCCGCGGACTGGAAAGTCTCGCAGCTCTCGCTTCTTTGTGGTTTCGGGATTGCGGCTGAGGGCTTGTGAGGTGGTGACGAGGACAGCAGCAGCCGCACGGGCAGGGCCCGCCTGTCACAGCCGTGACCCCAGTGCAGTGCCACACGCTTCCCAAACACATGCACACACACACAAACGCACCTGCACACATGCCTGTGCACGCTTGCTTTCGTGGCGGCGGCAGGGGTGAAGGGGCCCTGGGCAGAGCCACGGTGGGTGCAGCTGTGGGGACAGGCAGGGGCCAGGTGGTCAGACAGACCGGCAGGAGCCCACCGCTGCCATGAGACCTGGCCGCACATGCCTCTGAGTCCCAGTCTCCAGAGCTGTGAGGTGGGTGTGGCGTGGGACCGTCCCTCTGGGGTGGAAAGGGCAGGGCAGAGCCAGGGCAGGGGCCCCATGAAGGCAGCTCTGTGCTCTGTGACTCGGAGCTGACGGTGGCCCTGACAGCGAGGTGCCAGGTGTGGAGGGTCTGCCGGGCGGCACGCTGAGCCCCTGGGACTGCCCGCGGTGAGGCAGGGCCTTCTGGGCTGCGTATCTTCCCCTGCTGGTGCCTCCCGCCCGCCCTCCCCCAGGCAGCCCGGCCCACAGAGGCGCCCTCCTTCCTTGCCCCGTCGAGCCGGAACCCAGGGGCCACTCTGCCCAGCAGCTAATCCGCCCATTACCGGGCGCCCACCCACCCTCCAGGGAGCTGTCGGGCTCCAGGTGTTCCCGGCTGCCAAGTCCCTGCAGTGCCATTGCCCGGCGAGGTGCTCCCGAGCCTGCCGGGCGCCGTGCCAGGGGCGGCAGGGCAGGGCTCCAGGGGAACTCCGTCGGAGGGAGGGACCTGCCCGGCCCAGCAGGTGCCTGCCGCCTGGGCTCCGGTGCAGGCAGGCTTGACAGGACGTGTGCTTTCCCCTCCTGCGTGAGTCCCCACACACCAAGAGTCCAGGACTGGCCTGTTGGTGGCTCAGGCCTCACACCTGCCGCCTGGGCCGGTGCAGCCCTGGTGGCCTCGGCAGAGGGGCAGGGTCTCCCCACCCTGTGACGGGCTTCTGACAGCCTGGCGTGGGGAGGAGGGGCCCTCGCAGCCTGTGGCCGGCGCTAGGTGCGGGGCAGTGAGCAGGTGTCACCCACGTGGGTCTCCGCCAGCCTCCAGCCAGCTTCAGCTAAGTAGGGGGATAGTTGTTTTGTAAAAGTATGTCCCGAGCATCGCGTGGGCTCACACAGACTGGAAAACCATTCCTCGTTAGCTGAGATTCAGATCGCGCGGCCACCTGTATTTGCTAAATCGGGAATGGAAAGGGATGTGAGCCGCTGCCAGCCAGCTCCGGCCACCCACCAGGCCCCTGTGCTGGGCCCTCCACTCTGGGTGCCTTGGGGCAGGGAGGGCCCCTCACCATCGCCAAGGCGCAGCCCTGGCTGGACGCCACACGCAGGCGGCCCTCATGGCCCAGAGCCCGGCGAGCCGGCAACAGCGCAGGCACACGCGGGCTTTGCTGGAGAGCGGGCTGCAGGCTCCGAGAGCCACCCGGGCCTGCGCGAGCCCCGTGAGCGGTGAGCGAGTAACTGAGGCACAGATGGCTCACAGCGGGAAGGAAGCCGTGGCCATCTGGGGGGACGTGTGGTGTGGTCACGCAGGAGGGGCATGTGTGTGCCTGTGTATGCATGCTTGTATGTGTGTACATATATGTGTGCAATGCATTTGTGTATGTATATACATATGCGTATGTGTGCACGTGCAAATGCACGTGAGTGCATACGTGTATGTATGTACACTGTATATTAATGTTTGCATGTGTGCACGTGTGTGCAGGCTTGTGTATGGGGTGCACACACCTGATTGCCTGCTGGAGGCTTTCCTCGGCACGTGGGAAGAGCCATGACTGAACCGTTGACGGCTCATGTCCTTCCCTGCCGAGTCAGGGAACTGCCGTGTAACCGCACACCCGCGTGGGTGTTCAACAGTCGCCCTCTGTGCAGCCGCCACCGAGGCAGGACTCGGAAGGTCCCAAGGCCCCTGGGAGGACGTGGGCTGGCCCTGGGTGCTGTTCCCCCGCAGACAGGAAGCCGCACCTGCCGGCTGCCTGAGGAGGGGACGTGCCGACCCAGCGATCCTCAGGCAGCTGCCGGCCCCGCCGGGGGTCCTGGTCCCCTTGTCCTGGTCCAGTTTTTCTTACTCGTTTGCCTTAAGCCCACCTATGTGCGGTTGTTGGGACTACCGTGGCCTGGGAGCCTGCTCAGTGACCGCAGCGCCGCGTCCTCACCTGCGGGCCAGGTGCTCTGGGCTCAGGCGGGCAACGGCGCCCTCTGCTGGACGTGGGGAAAACGCCTTTCCGTTGGGCCCAGAGCTTTGTTCTCATTTGCTGAGCGCCAGCCTGCCGCCAGCAGGACACCTTGACAGGAAGGGAGGCCAAGGACGCCTGGGTAGCCCCGCCCGGCCCCGCCCCGAATTTGCTAGCGAGGAAGGTTAACTGACCTACCTCGGAAGGGCAGGTCACACCAGGCCCAGGGGGTCTGAGTTGGGCCTTTGCTTCTTCTTGCAAACAGAAAACGTCCCTGTGGCTGCTGCCACACGTGGCTCTCGGAGCCGCTTCCCACATCGCCTGGGTGGTGCGGGGGCCCCTCGAGCGGGAGGCTTCTCTGGGCGTGGGGTGAAGCCAGCAAGAGGCACGGTTGGCCCATCCCAGCCTCCACCCCACAGCGTGACCTCTGTCCTCAGCCGGGACGACCCGGGGCGGCACAGGCGTGGCCAGCCTCTGGCCTCTTCGGGACGCAGCCGGGTCCTGGGGGGCTCTCGCCTGCCGTGTGGCTTCAGGCGTCCCTGCACCCCAAGGCTCAGTCTCTGTCCACGGGGATCTGGGTGGAACCCAGCCCCGCGCGTTATCCCGAGACAGGCAGGTGGGGGGCACGACCTAACCCTGTTCCCGCAGGGCAGCGGTTTGAACCTCTGGCCCGTTCTTTGAGCCTCTCGCTGCTGTGTGTCTTCGGTGCCTTGGGGTCGTGGCTGCGTGTATCATTCTGGAGCTTGGCAAGCGTGTGGGAGCGTTACTGTGGGGTGTTAGGGATCCCCTCTCGTGGTTCCCTCCTTTCTGTGATGTTCCCCTTCTATTCGTGGCCGCTCCTGAGGCCCCAGACTCTGCTGGGACTCCCCTGGCCACGCCGACCGCCGTTTCCCTGAGAGCCACGCCGCACGTGCCACCTGGGCCGGGAGCGTCCTCAGAGGGCGAGTCAGAAAACGTGGGCCCCACGCAGCGTGGCCCTCTCCCTCTGGGGGCCACATCTGCTCCCCTTTTGCCCGCTTGGCCTTGAAACAGCCGAGTGTGTTTTCTAAGGGTTTCACCCGGAGTTCAGGCAGGAAGGTCGGTCGAAGATAAGTCTCTCCACCAGTTGCAGAAGCTGAAAGTGAAGAAGGAAAACGTCACCCCGAGTTTCGAGGCCCCCCAGCCTGCGGGGCAGACGGCACTGACCCCTTCTGCTGGAGTGGGGGCCGAGCCCCGGCACCGGGGCCCCCCAGAGAGCGTTCACCCACCGCGCAGCCTGCCGGGGCCCTCCCCGCTGCCCGAGTTCCCCAGAAAGCATGTCCTGCACTTCTGCCCAGGGTCTCCTCTCTTCTGTGCTCAGCCTGGGCTGAATCCCCGCCACCCTCATCCCCAGATGCTGGACGCAAACTTTCCCCTCGTGGTCCCCACCTGCAGCCCCCGGGGGTGGCAATGGCTCTGCAGGTCACCACTGGGGTGTAAGTGCAGCCTGAGCCCCCTCAGGGTGACGAGTAATTTATGGAAGAACAAGCAGCCCAGGAGCCCAGGGAGGGCGTCTGTCTGTGGGGTCAGAGCCGGGGAAGACACATGGACAGAAACATGGAGGGGCCTCGACACTCCTTCCGTGTTTGTAGCTGGGACTGGAGACATCAGGGTGGACTCCCTGGAGGAGGTGGCAGAGCAGACGGGGCTGTAGCACTGGGCCACTGGGCGGGGCAGGCACGGTGTGCTGACAAGCGCTTGGCACGGATGGCCCCCGGGACCGAGGGCGCAGTCGGCGCTAAGGCTCACGAAGGGAATGGTGGCCGGGAGGCTGCCGGCGGGGCAGCGAGCCTGGCGCCTGGAGCTCGGCGGGCGCTGGCCGGGCTGGGCAGCTCCTTCCGCTCAGGCCTCCCGCTGTCGTCCCTCTGTGCAGACGTTCGGCGCCGCGGACTGGGAGGTCTTCCACATCGGGGAGAGGATCTTCCTGGCCGTCGCCAACAGCCACAGCTACGACGTGCGGGTGCAGGTGCAGAACGACTCCTACACCATCAACTCCGTCATCTACGAGCTGAACGTGACCGCGCAGACCTTCGTCAAGTTCCAGGACATCCCCACCTGCAGGTACCGGCCGCGGCCGGCTGGCGGGAAGGGCGGAGCTGGTCAGGGCCGCGGCCTGTCGCCCGCCCTGTTGGGGACCACGCTCCCCACTGTTCGCCTCCACCCCTGCACACACACAGGCCCAGAGCAGGCGGCGCCGCCCTGAGCCCCGTCACGTTGTCATGTTCGGTTCCCAGGGCCGGGCGCAGAGCTTGGCATGTGGAGCACATGCCTCCTGTCGTCCGGCGGTGCAGGCCGGAGGGGGCAACCCAGGCTCAAGGAGCGCAGCTGTCTGCGTGTCACGGGCAAGTGTGAGGCCCATGGCCTCAGGCAGGTGTCCTGACATGTGTCCACAGCCGGCCACTCTTGCCACCTCCAGACACGGTTCCTCCCTTCCCCCCAAGCCGGCCTCCTCCGGACGCCAGGACACAGACTGGCGTGTGCGGGCAGGAGGGAGGCTGGGTCAGTGCCTGCCAGGTGGGGCCGGCTCTGCGGGCCACTGAAGGTCGTGCGGCTCCGTGTGCGGGACTCTGGGTGCCGAGGACCCGTGACAGTCGCGGCCTGCACAGGCCCCTCTGGGCGGGGCTCGGAGGTCTGCCGGGGAAAGTGCGGTGAATGCAGTGTGCACCGTTCGCATCCCAGCGCGGGGCCTGGTGGCTCAGCGCGGGAGCCCAGCGCTCGTGCCGGCCCCGGGCGCAGCAGTGGCTTCCCCAGGTCCCCGTGGTTTCGTGTGCTCCTTGTTCCATTCCGTAACGGCTCACGACCCTCCCGAGCCCCGGGCCTCACGTCAGCCCGAGATGCAACCACGAATAGGCTTAGGCGCCTTAAGGGAAGAAGTCTCCAGGGTGAGCTGGGAGAAGCGAGCTGAGGACCAGCGACGTGACACGGCCCGGCGCGGGGGACAGGCAGGGCACCTGTGTCCCCGTGGGTCCGGGCGCCCCGGTCAGCAGGGCCACCCGGGGACAGGTGGGTGCCGGGGAGCACACAGGGCAGGAAGGACCTTCCATTTACACCCCACGGCTCCTGGACCGCTTGATCTGCAAACGCGTACGATGCTGACTTACTAACGATCTACTCATATAACTTTCTAAAATTAAAAAAGAGAAAACGACCCTCAGAATAGAGAAGAAGCGAAAGAGTGAGCCGCGGTGCCCGGCCCGGAGGACCTCGGGCTCGGACCGAGCTGCCCGGCGGGAGAGGCGGACACCAGCCTTGGTCCCATCCCGAGAGCCGCGCTCTCGGGGCTCAGCTCCGGCCCAGGGGGCCGCTGAGAACAGCAGGTAGTTGAGGCACTGCAGAACGGAGTTTAGAACACACACGTTTGAGAGAGAACTGCGATTGATTAACTGCAGAGGGGCACGTGCCCACGTAGGCGAGGCCAGCCAGACACGGAGGCGCTGGGCGCCTTGGAGCTGGGAGCCTGCAGCGGCTGCAGAGACGCGACCTCCAGCCAGGTGCCGCTGGCCAGTGGCGGGCACGATTTACGCATGAAGTTCGCAGACTTTAAAGTGGCTTTAATAATTACCGTCAGACGCTCGCCGCGGCGGTCACGTTAGCAGGCTCCGAGGCGGGACTCTGTCCGCAGAAGCGTGGTTCCTGGCTTTTCCGCCTCATGGGGGACACTTGCTCCCCCGTCCTCCGTCGGGGAGCCGGGATGCGGCCGCGCCCCGCAACACTTCCGGAACCTTCCCCGGGGCGGCGGGGTGGTTTCCTGGCCGTGTGTGATCCTGGCTCTCACCGCCCTCACCTTTGTGTGTTTGTCACAATTCAGTGGTTTTAGTGAATCCACAGATGTTCTAGACGTTCTAGAATGTTCCCAACCCCACGCCCTTACCCAGCCCTCCCCCCCTACCGCCTGTCTCCAGTCCCCCCGCAGTCACCAGCCCCTTTCCGTCCCTGTCCACGTCCTTGTCCTGGACATTCTGTGTAAGTGGCATCCTGCACGGCCCCTCGCGTCTGGCTCCCGTCGTCTGCGTCCTGCTGTCCAGGCTCGTGGGCGCCGGAAGCTGGGTGTGCGGCTCCGTCCTCGCTGTGGCTGAGCGACAGGGCGTCACGCGGGTGTCACTTGGTCCTCCCCTTTGTCCCTTGATGAGTGTCTGTGCTGTTCCCACCTTTTGGCCAGAGGGTAACTCTGAAGAGTAAGAATACGCTTCAGATCTCCGCAGCGTGGCCAGCGTAGCCGGATACACAGCGTGGATGGGAGGCAGAGGCAGGAGCCCTCCGCCGGGCACCGCCCTTCCCTCGGCCTTGAACCAAAGCCGCTGCTGGCCGCGCCGCGGTGCAGCCCACAGTCGCTGTCGCCTCTCGCAGGGAAACTCCCCGCCACGCCCCAGACGGGGGCACGCGGTGGGGTGCGGTCGAGCCTCTGTGAGCAAGAGTGGGCACCACTGTGGGGCGATTGCCGCCCGCCGCGGTGGAGGCCCAGGGGCTCCTGACCAATGGGTGGCCCTGCCCCGCCCGCCCCACCCCGTCCTCTCCGAGGTCCCTCCCCTCCCAGGTCCTGTTGAGCGAGCACCTGCTGGAGGCCCCCGCCCCCGATGCCCTCCAGGAAGCACCCAGAGTGAGCCTCGGCCACCGGGGCCTCTGCTGCCGGGACTGGCCACAGCCCAAGGAGGCCACACGAGGAGGCTCCGCCCGGCCTCGCCTCAGACTGGGCCCTGCTTGCTGCATGGCTTCTGCCTCGGTTTCCTCATCTCTGGAGTGGGCTCGGGACCTGCCGTGATGAGAGAGGCGTCAGGCAGAGACGAGAGGTGTGGGCCCGACAGCTGATGGCCCAGAGGGCCTCTCGGAGCGGCAGGGTCTGGGGCGGCCACCTGCCAGGCGCTGGGACCGCGCGGCCCTGAGCTCAGATGCCCCCTCCGCACGGTCCGGCCAGGCTCTTGCCCGGGGGACCTGCAGCCTTAAGGCCACATGTGCCTTGCGGGTCCGTAAGTGCAGCCTTTTGACTGAATCCAAATTCTACAGAACAAATCCTTTCATTTTTATTAATACACTCTTATTCATCTTTTATATTTTTAGTTTTAAAATGGGCCTATTTAAAACACCAAAGAATAAAATAAGTTTCAATGAAATAATCTTCCCAGGTGGACTGGCACAAGTAGAACATTAGTTAGCTATAAGGGTTTAATTGACAGGGGCTACGTGATTTTGTTCTAACCTCCCCCGCCTGTCTGGCGCCACTACCGTGCTAGGCTGGCCAGAGTTTATGGGGTCAAGTACGCCAGTCTGTTATCAGCTTTTGACAACAGTGCACTGTGTTTCTGTTTGAAGTGGAAATTGTGAATAGCTGCACAGCTAGACAGTATTTTTTTTTTTTTTTTTTGAGACAGAGTCTCACCCTGTTGCCCAGGCTAGAGTGCCGTGGCATCAGCCTAGCTCACAGCAACCTCCAACTCCTGGGCTCAAGTGATCCTCCTGCCTCAGCCTCCCGAGTAGCTGGGACTACAGGCATGCGCCACCATGCCCAGCTTATTTTTTCTGTATATATATTTAGTTGGCCAATTAATTTCTTTCTAGTTTTAGTTGAGACAGGGTCTCGCTCTTGCTCAGGCTGGTTTCAAACTCCTGACCTTGAGTGATTCTCCCGCCTCAGCCTCCCAGAGTGCTAGGATTACAGGTGTGAGCCACGGCGCCTGGCCTAGACAGTATTTTTTTTATTCTGTCTGCTTAACAGCCCATCGTGTCAAAGAAGACCAAGAGAGCACTGAAGGAAGAAAACAGATTTTTTAAATGAGGATTTGGAATTGCAATCTTATTTCAACTAAAGATGAGATGATTTGTTTGCCTTGTTATGCTACAATGTCAACATTGAAGAAATTCAATGCTCATCAGCATTATGACACACTCATAAGGACCACAGATATTTTAAATTAGAGTAAGAGGTGTGAAAGACTGTATTGCAGAATTTAAAAGATGAAAAGCAAAAGCAAAGGCAATTCTTTCAAGCAGCAGTAAGACCTGGAAATGATGCTACTGAAGCAACTTATAAAGTAGCTTACGTACTCGTGGGGGAAAAGGGAAGCCATTCAGTGATGCAGAAACTGAAAGAGTTCACTGTCGAAGTTGTAGGATGCCTAGACCCCAATAACATTTCAAAGCAAAAACAACTGCCTCCTCCAAGGAGAACGGCCACTGATTGGTAGCATGAATTTACCTTCGACTTCACAGAACTTCATGCAATACTTCAAAAATAAAATACAAAGTACATATTATTCAGTTGCTTTGGATGAATCAACTGATACTACTGAGTCAGTGCGGTTTTTATGCTTGACGTTCGAGTCATCACAGAAGATTTTCTTTGCCATGAAGAGTTACTCACTTTGGGCGCTCTCGTGAACAGAACACGGGGAATAGATATCTTCAGCAACTTTCGAGATGAACAGATGCAGGTGCTCTCGTTTCTCCTCATTGTATCTCGCATCAGCAAAATCTCTGTGCTAAAGCTGCTATTTTTTAAGTGACACTTTGCAACAATTAAACAGGGGTGAGCTGTGGAGAAGCAGCTAGGACGCGACGTACACGGCCCGTGGCGACAGCAGGGCGCGTGTCCCCATGTCGGGGCGCCCGTCAGCAGGCCACCCGGGACAGGTGGTGCCGGGGAGCGCACAGGCAGGAAGGACCTTCATTCTACACCCAGCTTCTGGACGCTTATCTGCAAACGCGTACGATGACTACTACAACGATCCTCAATAAACTTTCTAGAATTAAAAAAAGAGAAAAACGACTCCTCAGATAAAGAAGAAGAAAGAGAGCCGCGGTGCCCGCCCGGAGGACCGCGGCTCGACCGAGCTGCCGGCGGAGAGGCGGACACCAGCCCGCCGCATCCAGAGCCGCCCCTCGGGAGCTCGGCTCAACCCGGAGGCTCTGAGACACAGCAGGTAGTGAGGCAGCAGAAACGGAGTTAGAACACACCACTTTGATGAGAGAACTGGATTGATACTGCAGAGGGGCACGTCCCACAGAGCCGAGGCCAAGCCAGACACGAGCGTGGCGCCTTGGACTGGGAGCCTGCAGCGCGCGCAGAA